ATTTGCTTCACACAAACAAGGCCTAGTTAGAAGGGAGGTCGCATCGATGTCACGCTAAATATTAGCCAGGTGCAGTCTCAAGGATGACTGATAACGGCAACATGGGAAACAGAAGCAGCAAGCAAGCACAGAATTCGCCCAAGATCCGCGCACTTCCCACTGGTCGAACACGCTTACGTTCCTCACGATCAACGCCCGCAGCTTGCCAGGTGAACCAAGCCGAAGCAGCGGCTCCGCCTTCTCTGCCTTTTCTTGAAGCTCCCGCAGACTCTTCCGCAAGTTCTCTAACTCCGCATCCTTCACCTTCACAGACTCCTGCAAACGCGAAATGTAACCAAACAGCTGCATTCCACGTAGCAGTTAAAGCCCGGCCTCGTCAACACTGCAACCCAGCGCTACCAACACCGCTGCTCCTACGTCACATGCCAAAAGCAGCGCCAAACAGCCGCAACAACCCACTTCCAAATGCTCTTGCGTCTCTTTCAGCTGACGCTTCAAGCTCGTCAGAGTCTCATCCTTCTCCGCCAGCTCACCCACTAATTCAGACTGCAGGAGACGAGCAACCGCACCAGCCTACACAAGCCTATTTGACAATCGATATAGGAGAGCACTGCAGGGCTGAAAAGTCGTCTTCTGGATATAACGGAAAAAAGCGAAAGAAGTTTGTAAGCGTGGTGTGGGTGCCGTTGTGTGCAAGCTGGGAGTTGCGGGTTGGTCTCACGACCACGTTTGCAGCGTGTTAATGGCCTGAGTGTGTTGCGTTTTGGGCATGCTATGTGGCGTGGAGTCGCAGCCTATTGAGTGCCTCGAATACTGCAGGCCATCTCAAAAAGCTGCAAAGCTCAAATCCTGAGTAGTTCAGGCCGCACTGCTCATAACCATTTTCACTTGGCTTTCTGTGAAGGCACTCACATTTTGTTTTAAAACGGATGCTAGTTTGCTCGCGTCTCCAACTTGATTCGAGGACTGCGTGCTTTGCAAACGTTGTTGTAGTTCCTCCACAAGTCCCGCGAGCTCCTGGACATTCGCCTTAGCCTTAACAAGCTCATCAGCCTCCTCCTGGAGTATGATCGGCAAGACACAGCCGCAAGTACTTGAGCCTACACAGGCCTTGGAGCCACTTCACATGCGTTAGCTAATAAGAGCAAGCAACACGAAAGAGTCTAGAATCATGGTAACTGGTCCATTTATGCTTCACTGCAACTGAAATTGAGGCTGACTGCTGCAAGTGCTCTTGCTTGTGCTTCTGCCTGCTGAAGTGCGTCCACTTGAGATCGCAGCTTCTCCACTTCGTCGTCTCTTGTAGCCAACAGCTTGCGGAGGTCTGCCTGCAGATTTGGAACAAGTTGAAAAAACAGCCAAGGCACGCACGTGAAGCGGTGAGGCACTGCCTCCACTCGTCTTTATTGCTCATTTGGCTTCAATTGCGCGTGCTCACAATATGCTCATTGAGACTTTGGATTGCATCTGATGAGCTCTTGAGCTTATCCTCCATGGAAACCTGATGAGTAAGCAGCAGAGCGAGCCTTCGGCAAAGCAGCAGCTGCAGGCGGGTATATTATATCCAACCGAAATTTCCGGCCAGGCTTTTGCTTCATATATTTTCATGCAGAGGCTAAATGGAGAGGCTCTACACCCTCAAAAGTGCCAGACTGTGGCGCAAATGTTGTCTCTCATCTAAGAAATAGCAATTCCTTTTGAAATATCATCATAAAAGCTGGCTCCAATATGTAGACTTTGTTGTGACTTGCCTTCTCATCCTGCAACACCATTGCGAGCCTCTGTTGTAGCTCTAGCTCGCGTTTTGCCCCTTCTTGTGAGTTGCGTCCATCCTGCAAATGAAAAAAGAATCGCGACTAGCGGAAGTGCTCGCTCTAAGAGCTGAAAGTGGCAGGAAGAGCAGCAGGAGTCAAACTCACCCTATCGATTCGGTGCAGAGTCTGCTGCTGCATGAATATCAACGATTCCAGCTGGGACTTCTCTTCTGTCAGATTTTCCACTTGATGCTGAAGCCTCGCCACGAAGGCCTGGCACTGCTCGTTCGTGCATGCTGCGGATGTGAGAAGAGCGGAAAGCAGAGTGCCTAGTGGAGGCAATTATGTCAATGTCACCTCAGAGCCCCGCAGAAATCAACATTGCAGATTCAGCTCAAGTATAGCAACGAGGGCTCCTCAAATTCCTCTATTGGCCTTAGGAGGCTTCTTTCTTACGGCAAAGTGGACCCCTTTGGGTGCTGGGGAGAGAACAACTCGATGCTGCTTCCTTGGTTTGTGAGGCTTCAATCGGGAGTGAATCATTTCTTGTGGGCAACCAGCGCTGCAAGGGCATAGAACCAGCCCTTTTGGGGTTTTTGGGCTCGTTTCCCCCATAGCTGTCTTGTTGCTTGCCCACTGACTTGTTGAACAACTTTTTCATCTTCAGCGCCTGAAGCAGACTAGTTCTGCCTATACACGTGGCTACAGACAGGCACGAATATATACGAAGTGACTTATGGATGAGCGACACTGTGTGCTTGGGAAGAAGGCAGTGTTGCTTCGTAATATGCCGGACCTTCCCTCCAGGCGTTCTTGCCTCGCTGGGCACCGAAACTGCAGAGGAGAGACTTTCCCGACCACTGCCGGTCAGCCTTTCTAGATGAGTGTTCAGTCATTTATGGTTGCGGTTTCGGAAGCTTGTCATTGCTCACAAAGAAGTGAACGAACCGTGAGCCCGACGACTGCCTACTCGAGTTGTCGATGAGGAACAGCGGACACGCTGGAACTCTCCAATGGCTCCATGCACGGATTTAGACTTCATTCTAGTGAAGACAAAGTAAATAAATGAAGTTCTGCAATGCATACGTGTGAATTTTGCACCATGTTTCAAACAAGAACCACGTTGTCTGGGGATAGCCCCTTGAAAATGGCCGTTGAACACAACTGGAGCGGTCACCCACAGTACGACCCTGGTGACCTAAGCAGAACATATTTCAGTTTTTTTAGTAAAGGAAACAAAAAAATCCTCTATGTGCATATGCACACGTGCATGTCCTTCCCCTGCGCGGCTCAGCAGAACTGGCCCACTTCGGCTCGCATCACCTTCGTTGCAGTCGCCAGTCATCTGAAAATGTTACTGCTGTCTGCGCTTCCGATATTACATAATTTTTGCATGAGCTAGTGCTGTTGGTAACTGGGTTTTGATTTTCAATTGATATTAACATTCAGGCAGGACCTTGTTCAAAACTTGTCAACATTTGCTTCTACGAAGAATCCTCACCACACAAGTCAGCGCGCGTTTAAGCCCCTTCTGCCTATGATGAAGCAGCTTATCGTATCATTTGTATATACTGGACACCGACATGCATCATCTTACGCGGGCCATTAGGCCAACTGAAACGACTCCCTACCGATGGGCTGAGGAAACGGGAAGCCGTTACCCTGTTTCTTAGCTTTCCACTCTCCACAAGCATCACATCTACGCTCCATTTGAAGACAGTACTTTGATTAGTTCTGTATATGTTCGAAAGTTTCCATTAAGCCTAGTTTATTACTATGAGTGTCTCCCGTAAGTAACCTATCCCAGGCAGCGTACACTTAGATTGCAAACTAAATTGAATAAAACGGTCGTAAACAATAATATACCATGTCGTTAAGACGCCCATAGCAGCTTGCCGCTGCATCAGACGTCTCTTACGTTGCTAACCCTTCCTGCTAGCGCGGACGAAATGATGGCTTCAAACGTCAAGCTTCCGCTGCAGAGCAACATGGAACTGCCTCACCCCAGCTCCAAATGACAGTAAAATCACTTCGAAGGTTAACGCAACTTAATTCCAAGCTTCAGGCCAGAAACATCTCCAACCTAGATGCGCACAGATTAGGGTGATCTGAGCTGTGCACTACATTTTGTTGGAGGGGCTTCACGAAAAGAAGCTCATTTGACTTCATCTGAAATGCTTCGTGACCTAGCAAAAGCCAGAAAGCCCTGCCAATTCCTGAAGGGTAATCGAAACGATGCCCGAGATAAACTTATAAGTCATCTGTTTGCGCACCCGATTGCCGTTGGGTTCCACGTGTGCTGCCGCTGCCGTGCAGTGAAGCCAGGCGCAACATGCCGCATGATTAGTTGCACGTTGGAGGGCCCGTGTGACTGCTGGTTGGGGACTGCTCTTACAGGCTGATGTGGTTGGCACTGTATGTATGGGTGATGCAGTGTGTGCTGTTGCAAGCTTAACTGTTGCTGGATACAATAAGCAGGTAGATTATTTGGAGCCACGGCGGGGGGACGAGCAGCTGTAGAGGCTGCCACCGGCAATTCTCCTGAGCATTGGGTGATGTACGAATGGTAATGCTGAGCGGGGAAATTCTTCGCATGCATTTGCAAGCTACTTTTACAGTTTTCTGGGAGTGAAGTGCGTACAGGCTCTTCATATGGGGTTCTAGGTTCCCATCCGTCTGGTGCCTTGAATGATCTACCAAGATACAGCCTTTGGTTGTTTACTGGAAGGGTGCCTCGAGCCACACCAAAGGCCGGAATCTGCTGCGCACTCCATGTACCCCAAGATGGTCTCTCTCCGTTCTTCTGTCCCGAAAAATCTACTGAAGCTCGCTGAACATGCGAGGCTCCCAAAAAAGGCAGCTGTGGCGCAAGAGATTGCCCAGACTTCGCGACTCGCAGCTGCCTTACAGCAGTAGTTCCACTCAAAGGCGCTTCAGACGCACCATCCTGAGGTACCCCAGCAGCTCCACTGTGAAAAATTCCCCCATGAACTGAAGCACTGTGCTTAGTATCCTGTAAAACGAAGGTACCCACAGTGCGGGGGGCGAATATCGACTGTTGTTCACGCTTAGTGTGTTCTTCTTGTACTGAAGCTGCTGCCTTCGATGCGTCAGCATTGCTTTCATTCTTGCACTGTGACGCTCCTGTCTGTCGAAATTCTGCCGCCATTTGTTCAGATCTCGAAGCACAAAGAAAGGTCGGCGCTGCTTTTGGAGTTTCTATGATTCTGTTATTCGTTGAGCATTTCTCCGTGTTATTTTGTTTCTCCGAGTCAACCGCTACTGAAAAGGCGGCTGTAGAGCTACCTTCAGTGTATCCCCCGGCAACACTACCACTAGTAAGCTCCGATTGCTGGATGCAAGATGGCAATGGCGGCATTATAATCTTCTGTAGGCCACTCGAGAGGTCCTCATGTGTTCCTTTGTTCCTAACGATCCGGTTTTGATCTTCACATACCTTGCCACTAGGCCCTAGCTTCTCACTTTCCTTGAGAAAGTTTGCTACTGACTGCCTTTTAATTGGGTCTTTGCCACTGGGCAGTACTGCTCCATATGTCATACGACTGGGTATGCCGTTAAGTCGAAGAGTAGCCCCTTTAACCGGAGGTGGCTGTGTGGCCCGCAAGTTGGTCCCCGTGTGGAAGTGCGCTGACAACCCAGAGCTCTCCGAAGGTGCTTTCGACTGAGTGACAGACGGCCTTGAAGAAGAGCGAAGGAATGCCGGCCTTGAGCTGTGACCCTGGGTATCGCGATGCTTGATTCCATGCTCCTCCTTGGATTGCCTTTCCGATCGAACTGTTGATCTCCTTGATGCTGCCGGAGTGGTTACTGTGTCTTTCTTCCAAGGGAACATTTCGCCATGAGCATTATTTTTTGGGAGGGACACGTCGGACCGGTCTGCGTGGTTGAGATCCCGTGCTGCCAATCTCCCGGCTCCCAAGAGAGCTCCTTTTCCAAAAGGAAGAGGAGGCAAAGGGTGCCTCAAATTTCTAGGTGTCAAATGCACTGCTGCATCAAGTGGCTTCAACTTCCGGGGAGGAGCCGCTTGCAGTCGAGGACGTGCTGAAACTATTGCTGGGGCACAAACAAGCTTGTTCCCATTCTTCGGGCTGATAATAGCAGGGACACACCCTTTGCTGCCAGGCCGTCTGTCAACAGCAGCGCCATTACGCAAGTACATTCTGGAAGAGAGTGCCCCTGCCATATTGGGGCACTTGCGACCCTGCGGGACATGGCATGGCTGACGAATGTTACCTTGCAGGCAACAGGTTGCATCAGTCCCTACTACGACTGGCCCTGCCGTCAAGCGATGACCTCGAGCGCGCTCTCTACTAAGACCTTCCACTTGGCTGCTACATTTTCTGATTTGCTGCCCTGCAAGTGCTGTTCCCTCGTGATCCTCCATTGCCTCAACCACCTCGCTTTGTTTCATCTGAGGGTCCCCTGGTGGGCGCTCAAGAGGCCTCCCATGCTGCAATAACTCTCGTGACGATGAAAGACAGGATGTAGAAACATCCGAACACCGCTGAAGAGCTACCTTCACATAAGTAGTTTCCTTTGTCTTCAGGGCGTGGCACAGAGCCAGCCGTGCCAAAGGCTGGTCAGAAATCCCAAGCGCTTCAATTTGCTTTCTAAGTCTTGCCTCTGGCCAACGGCTGGCTAACAATGCAACGACTGTGTTCCCTTGTTCAACAAGCTTGCTGAGCAGCAGCCAACAAAAGATGCAAAGAACCGTGCAATATGATCTCTGTTACGGACACCTACACTTCGTTTGGCTTTCTGCGCAGCACTAACACCTACCAGAGCTTCTCTTTAAATCTAGGCATGAGGTCTTCGACAAGAGCGATCACGCAGTGAAGCTGCACACGCACAAAACTTATCGTACTTCAAGTAGGCAACGAGCACTCAGCAAACAGCACGAACGGGAACATGAAATCGGCACTAAACTTCGACAGCACATCGTAGAATCTATTAAACACGAACCAAGTTGTACCTCTGTCTGTGCTTGGTTGAGCAATCTTGCAACATACTCTTTGTCTTCAATCGCTTGCCTTGCTAGAGAACGCGATGCTTGAGCAACCACCTTGGACAAAAACATGCCATCAACATTGGTTAGAACGTCACACATACAAACCCTGTGCACCATATATCACTGCAGCCCTCAAGATGTTGGCATACCGCACTAACTGTTGTCAAATAGGAAAGAATCTACTTCGCCACATTTGTGACAATACGAAGTGGAGAGCAACAAACCTCGGCAGCAGTAGTGCGCCTGCTATTGATGATGCTTTCCTCTTGAAGTCGGAGGTACTGCATATCACAAGCAAGAGAGTCAGTGGAGCTCCGAAGAAGAGCTTCCTTGTTGATTTTCACTGCATACTGTGTGACATACATGCCCAGACTTACTTCATCATGGAATATTGCATAGTGTTTCCGTTCCTCCGCGCGTAGCCCTGAGAACAACTCAGTACAAAAGAGAAAAGAATTACAAGGCCTCACGAGACCGAGTCCACAAGATAGCAAGCTAAAAGCTGAAATGCGCAGAAGGCAATTTCTACACGGCGGCTGGAGCGTACTTTGCTCCTCAGCAAGCTCTTCTTGGGCCAGCCATAACGCCTCCTCCAACTCGCGGACTGCATTAGGGGAGGCGCTCCTCGATTCCATATTGGCCAAAACATTGCCAGAGCATCCCTGAAGATATCCATAAGTTCACAGCGCAAGACTTGCGGTCCCCAGCTCTTCCATCCTACAGAAGCGTTTCAAATGCATATCGACACGCCTTGCATTTCATTTAGGGGCATGCAGACGAACCGCCAATGAAGTGCTAAGCAGGGGAGAGTCAACTGTCTCTTGGCAGTCTTCAGGGTCGTCGTTTTGGTCATCATTGTAAAAAGAGACGTGATCGGGCACGATGCTCGTCCTCTGCGGCGCTTCAGCTGCAAGGTTCACGGACCCTGCAGGACCGCATTGACTATGAGCCTCTGCGCAGCCTAGCTCTGCTTCGTGTGTAGTTGTATCAATATGATCCATTGGAAATATGTACCGGTGGAGTGGATCCGCTGATGTTGGTTACAAGCTGCGTCCAACCTATTCACGGGCCTTGAGCTCGTCCCTGTTTGCATATTTTGATAAGCTAGCTAGCACTCGAATAACTGTGTCTGCAGACGGATTTTTCCGGAGCTGGAGTGATTGATGTGCTTGATCTGGTAGGGCCGGAGAATTGGAAGTGTCGGCACAACGGGCCACCTTCCGCCGTTGAACGCGACACCACCGGGGACCACCAAACCAGTCAACAAACTTCAGACAAGCCATTTAAATATTGCGAGCAAGTTGAGTAGTAAGGGAAGATCAGGCGGTCAATGAGTGGCGTTGCTGGGAGTCCTGAATGCCTAGCCGTACAGATATTCGGTGAAGGACCTGTTGCCGCCTGCGGTGTTGTGGAGGTCGAAGACCCAACTTGGACACAAAACGCCCTAGCTGCAGTTTTTTCCTTCGAAAAAACGGTTTTCATAGAGAATGAGATTGCATATATGTGTAGAACACGTGTGGATGGCGGTGCGCAGCTCACAACGGTCAAGCCCTGGGGCTTCGGTGCCCAGTGGCCTGTTCGACTGAGGTTCGAGCGCCGCAGCCAAATGTCTACAAAATTCGGAATTTCTTACTCAACGTTTATATCAGTCTGAGAGACACGTTTTCGGAACGTCAGCCAGGCTGCTTCTGTGGGCGAATCCTTGCAGGGTAACCCTGAGAGACTGGCTACAGATTCAATCCTACAACGTTAGGCCTGCAGCAAAACAGTAGTGGCAACTTGCATACTCTACACACGTGGTCCTTATATTCTTAGATATCCTCTTGTGGACCTAAAATCTGGAGATCCTGGTGGATGCTTTTCGGCGTTACACTCCAGTTCTGCGATATCGAGCCTAGTCTTGTCGAAGGCTTGCTGAGTGTCTCAGCGCTAATCAGTTTTTTTATAACTATTTGGCGTCTTCCTACCTCATTTTGTTCTCACACAAATTAGTTGCCTCCGAATTGGGGGCATCCCTTCTCCACTCATCTTTCGTCCGAGCATTTGTCTAATTGCTGCTTTGCAGCCCTCCTCATGAACAGTTGTTCTACGAATTTATTCTCGAATTGTGGTTTCACAATCGGGCCGATGTAACCATTTCTATTTCTTTGATTCTCCGCTGCGGAGCTCCAAGTACAGTACTTTCACTTATTGGCGATATCATCACACTCAGGGGCCATGGCACACCGCAGCTCTCTTTCCCTTTGCCTCCAGTTGGGGCTTCGGGCGATTTTGCCAACGATGCTCAGGAATTCATCCGCTCAAAACTAGTCAAATGATGGTCAATTTTTCGCTTCAGCAGGTTCTGAATGTCCGCACATGCTATGACAAGGATGCCAGCTTCCTTCGATTTAAGCCATAGCCTGAGTATTCACCTGCACTATCAGATACGCCACCTGCAACACCCACCTGCAGTTACCTGGTCCAAGCAGTACAGTACAGCTAACGAAATCCTGATAGGATGCTAACCTTCCCTTCCTTACCTGTGTGCATACGGGCAAGCATGCGGTCCAACACAGGTGTGGTTGGAATTCCATTTATCTCCGCTAAAGGGATACCAGCAACCCCCCCCACACCTAGATTCTCCTGCCCGTTCATTTAGATCATAGCTCTAGATAGTTCTATTACAAACGTGAAGACAACCTTTAGAGCGAACAAGTTGAAAGGGAAAATAATGCCGAATATTCGGCTGACGCTCCGCTGGTCAGGACTTCTCTTACGAACGCCCCCACGAGCGTCTAGCCTGATGCGGAATTTTCTTGGGAACAAATATAAAGCCAAAATAACTTTCACTACACAGTGAACGCTGACATAAGTTGGCTTTTCACGACCTTTGGACTGTTCACATGGCAGCCCACTCGTGCTTTACAAGCACCCAGTGGTTTGGGAAATGAATCATGCCGCATGCTGAACATCTGTAGGCGTCAGCTCTTGACGCTATAAGCATCATGGAAATGCAAATACTTAATACAAATGTACGCAAATTAATGCACAAGTAAAGCAGACCCCTAACACCGGCCCTTCGCCGGAAACAGCGGTCCGGTGCATCAGGAAAACACTTGATTATACTCTGTGTACTTGCTATCACGCTGAAGTGGTAGCATTTCGTTCCATTCGTAGCTTATTCCTATCTGCTACGACAGTATTCTTGGAGCCGAACTCTGGGCCAGCCATTCGTCGAGCCCAAGCATGCTTCGAACTGCCTTACTGGTGAACAGCGGTAGTCCGTTTCTCCCATTCAGTCAACAACGCCTCTAATCTGTCTGAGTTCTTCCTGGCTGTTTCGGAAAGGGCTAGGAGGGGATGCATCTTTCTGCTCAAATGCTTACTCCCATTTTGCGCCAGTAAAGTACGGCCTGCTTCCAACTGTTCCAGTGCCCGCTCAACGCAAAAGCTCGTTTCGCGCTTCAGCGCCTCACCTACTGAAGCTTCCTTCGTCTTTATGGTCTGTAACTTTTTCATTGTGGACGCTACTTCACGATCCGTGAAGAGCGCCTCCGGTGATGCGAAACGACGACTGTTAATAAATGATTTCACAGCTGAAAGCATTTCTCCCTGGTACTGGAGAGCTTCAGATAACAGCTGCGTCAAGAATTCGTAATCGGCATCCCCGAAAGAGTCACGAACGATCCACTGTAGCCTACTTCGATTATAAGATTCCGCTGCATCGACTGCACGAAGAAACACCTTTAGCTGACCTACCGACTCTTTCTCAAGAGTCCCTGTGGCTCCTCCTGAGCTTGTCAGACTGTCTCTCCCCGGCATGAGTAGCGGTGCCGACAAGGAGTTGACCACTATACTTATCTCTGGATACAAATCAAGAAGTGTTCGCGCTTGGCTGGTCATGGTAGTAGTCAGCTCCGCAGTATGAGCAAACTCAGAGGCGGCACTTTCGCCTATGTTTGCCACAGCTCGCAGCAACTTCCTCATGCGACCTGCTGCTTCCCCGACCTGTTCCGCTGTCCTTGCATTTTTGACGGCAACGCCAGCCACTTCCAAGCTGCTGCAAAGCGTAGTGACGTTCTGCGCCAGTGAAGACGCAATTGCCGAAACATGCGCCGCCAGAGACCGCGACGCCGAGAATCCACTGGGGTTACCTCCACCCTCTGCTCTCCCACTGAGCAGCGCATTCTCCGACTTCTTGGCCCAAGCTTCTACCCTTCGGGCCGCACGTTTGAAGCTTGATATCAGCGAGACTGTGGTCTCATAGAGCTCCAACCTCATGTTGGAAATCTGCTCACTTTGCCCGCCAGCTTCAGTTTCTAAGGTGTGCAAGTAGCTCCCTTCCGGAGTTTTGTACTTATCCCTTGCTGTGGCACCACGCGACTCTGAAGGTCTGCGTACAGTGCCACTCGAGGAGCTCTGGGAAGACAATGCACCTGGAGCGCAAAAAGGAAATGCTTTCTGTTCGAATTGAGTGGAAAGCACCTTCGCTATGAATGCCATCAACATAATAAAGAGACAAGCGTTCAAAACTCTGAACAGATTTCCCCGATGATATCTCATAGTCTCAGTAGGACTGGGCGACTCCTCAGATGTCTCGATCTCCCTTTGCCCTCCTTCCTGCTGAATCTCCCGTGGGGGGGGAAGCCAGCTGGGCTGCATAATTATTCCTCTCTCCGCTGTTTCTTGAGTCCCATTAGAAGTCTCTGGATGTGCAAATGGATCATCGGGATGCTTGCTCGGCTCGAAAAAGGCGCGTAGTCCTTCAGCGGGCCACGCAGCCTGCCATTCTTGCGGAACAGCTTCAACAGCACTGCACAGAACACAATCTACAGCTAGAACTGCCGTTGTTGCGACGGCTAGGGCAGGAGATGCCCACATCCTTGAGTTCAAGCTTCGGTGAAATTTAATCGGAACGCCGCCGTCTGCGCAGGTCCACTGGAACTGTTAACTGCTGGCTCCTCAGAAGTGGGCGAAGCAAGCTTATCAACGGCAGCAGGAAGAAGACCAAGAGGACTGGTATTTTGCAAAAAGCGAAACTGTGCTCCAACAAATCTGCCGGTATGAAGGCAAGATATCTCTGAAGGCTTGAGTCCAAGTCTCGACAAACTCGCCGCTAAGAGAGACACCCCGATGCTCTCGAAGATGATTCGTAGACAACCAGCTCAGAAAATATGGTTGAAATGAGCCTAACGTTTTCTCATACAAGGCTAGGTACCATCTCTAGAAAGGCGCTACGTTGTAAGCAACGAGCCCCGGGTCTACAACGGTTACGCTGCGGTGTTGCCACTTTAAGAGCGCCAAGTGCAATCTGCGGTTTGCGGTTAGCTTCGCATCAAAGCGAATTCACCAAATGGGCGACTTTCGTATAGTGAAAGGCATCATGTGAGCTCTGCTTTGGCACCAGTCGCTCGTCCGAGACAAACTGACAAGCTGGGGGGAAGCATTGGCTGGCTTAGCATCGAAGACTACTTTTCGGTGCATGCAGCAGCTGCCTAAATCAGGTTTCCAATTCTTACTTCTAAAATCGTTGAATGGACTCTTAAATATCCTACTAAGGTGAAGTTTGTCGATATTATCTCTGCTGCTCCCGTACAATGCTAAACAGAGTGACCACTGGGTTTCTACGCCGGACCATCACTGCCTTTGGACGGAGTAGCTGCACATGTTTCAGCCTCACAAAAATTATATCTACATAAAGGCTCACACGCCCTTTTGAATCTCACAATAGGGGAGTTTTGCTCTCAGTGCGAATGATTCGGGCTGAGTCTGTGATGAGCACTACGATTGTTCTCCCGAGACCGGCAAATTATTTGCTTTTCACCTCAAAGTCACAAACCTATTACCCTTGTGCAGTAGCTGCATTAGGGAATATGCCTCCTTCGCCTCTATAATCCTCTCAAACAGCTCAAAAAGAAGCCACGAGAACTTCCACCATCTGCACAGTGGTTCATGCGCCGCTGGGTTGAGAATTCGCATCAGAAAATGTTTTGAACTTTACTCGAAATTTCAGGTCACCCTGTAAACGAAACGCCGGATTTCGGACTTCTACTTTCTCACTTTCACACTGAAACCGCTCCCTTAGGTAGGTGCCTGCCAAAAGGGATCAGTTTTCAGCTTTTCCCTTCTGTATCGTTCCTTATCGCGGGCTCTGAAATATGCGCCCACTCCTGGGTTGACATGCAGCGCACGCTGTGTCACGGTCACGTATCGTTTGTTCAATTTTAAACGTCTCGCCACTAAACTGCATGCATTTGTCCCTAGAATTTGACGCCTTTTCGGTAACAGGCCTCCCACAGTACCTTATAGTGCCCATAGCCTGCTGCCATTACCACACAAACGTTTTGCCAAGGCCAGTGTCCGATTTAATACACTCCGCCTGGACTGGACTTCCTAGCTGCTAAGGCGAAGTCGAAAATTTAACATAAGCTCCCCAGCCATAGATGTGAACGGCAATTTGCATTTTCATCGCAAGTGTGGTTTCTCGTTACCCTTGCACTGAACATGTTTGGGACAGGTTTTCTTCAAAGTAAAGCTAGAACACGTATGGCTGTGGTCTTATCACGCATTGCACTCTTGTCTTCGCACGATTTGCTGATTGCATCAGTTTGTAGATGCGCACACTTCGTAGGGTAGGGCACATTGGTTACCAAACAGTTGCAGCCGACGAAGACAGCACAGCGCCATGAAGCTTTCCCCTGGCCACAGATCTCGAATCATTTCGTGACAGTAGAGATATTTAATACAGAACATGGAAGGAAACATTTGTAGCTCAAACCTTTCGCTACAGAAGCACAGGCTCCACACACAGGACGCTCTGGGTGGCGAACTTGCTGTGGAGCCGAACTCCTTCACTCCACCACCCTCTTAGGCGCCAAAACTGTCTCATTCATGGTATTTCCCACAAACTAGTACGGATCAAAATTCTGAAATCTAAGTGAAACACCACGTCAAGTCTTACGGTAGGTGTCTTCTCTTTCTTGTAGCCCATTTCGGCAAGTAATGCGGCAGTTATGTAAGAGCTCGACACTGAATGAAACTCACAGAACTTTCGGAGCAGCGTTTCCCTCGTACTCTAACATCTATGGATGCGTGGCAAACACTAGAAAACAGGAATCCCTCGGATTTGCTTCAAACTCAGTGAATGCAATTCTGTTTGCCCAGAAGGCATGAGGCCGGAGAGATACTGAGTGCAGTCTGTCCCTACCAAAAGCCTATTCCGTGACACACATGATTGTTAATTCTTTATCCAACCAACGTCCTTTCTAAAGGCAAAATTTCAGCCTGCTGCTGCACCGCCCCACACTTTTGCAGAAGTCAACCTGACTCGCGAGCGTGCAGTTCGAGAAGTTCGCAGCTTCCTGCCGGGGTGTGATATGCCAGTAATCTTTAGCGGGACACTTAACTCTTTCTGACCGTCCGCAGTTATTGCATATTTCAAGAAACACTTTGGTCACCAAGTTAAAACGGCCGCCTGGGCTCCAAGTACTTGAAATTCGCTAGCACGTAAAAGCCATGAGGCCGGGTTCCGCGAACCTCAGCAGCTGTGCAGAGCAGTTTTGTGTTTCCCGCGCAGTCCTCATCAGAAGAATGAAGTGTTGAGCTTTTGCGCCACAGCGAACTGCAGCTTTGCCAGCCGCGCCAAGTGAGCAGCCATGAGGCTGTCCTGCAGTGTGTTCTGGCAGAGCTGCTCGAAAGCTTCCAAGTCCGGCTCCGTAGCCGCGCTCAAAGCAGAACTGAGGAAGCGGCCGACCTCTGGGTCGGGTTCAACTTCGCCGTTCAACACTCTTCGAACATAGGCTGCGCAGATCTCGAGTTTCTCCTGCAGCTGTTCAAGTTCGGCGTTGAGGCCGTCCGTGATGTCACTCAGCAAAACGCCTTCGGAGGCTGGCTCTGTCAAGTCTTCTGCTCGCGGGGGGTGACTCCGGTGCGCAGTGCGCACCTTTTGCAGCAGCTGCAGACCCACTCGGTCTGACGGAGTCGCGTACAGCTCCAAGGGGAGCTCATGGAATTGAAAGCAAGCCTCTCTGGCCATTGTCATCTGGACCTGTGTGTAGACCTGGCGCGAACCAACCAAGGCACAAACAAAAAATCAAGACATCTGCAAGTTTTTCTCCATTTTGGCGGGAGTAAAGAAACTTATTCGCGAAGTCACTGGGCCACAGCCTGCGCAGCCGCCACAGGCTACGCAGCAGTCCCAGTCTTCGCAGCCCGCGGGGAATCTCACCTTCACTGAAAAGCTCCCGCTCTCCATGACGGCATCCACCATCAAGTGGATGGGCTCTGTGAGCGGCGGCTGGGGGAAGAACTTGGAAACAGACGAGAACTGCTTGAACCAGCCGTGGACAGCGCAAGTCAGCTCTGTCATTTCACTCCCTGTGCAGAACCAGCCAACAACTACTTCCCGCACTCCGCCATTGCCTCCATTGGCCTGCTGTTTCAGCTCAAACATGCTCTCGTGATGGTCCTTGATGATTTGCAGCAGGCCCTGAACAGCCACGACACAAATGCAGGATGCCAACTGCTTCTCCGAATGGAAACAAGGCAGCATCATGAGATAGTAGCGCTAGTCGAAACACGATTGAGAGATACTTCTGAACTCACGGACCTCGCCAGTCAACGAATGCCTGTCCACGAAGCAATCTGTGACATCAATGACGTTTCCATCGGAGCATGAGCCAAGCAAAGTGCCAATGACGTTCTCTTGGCCTTCATCGCGGCGAATGTACGCGTCCAGAATGGTCATAAGAGGCACAGGATGCAGCCGCACACGTAGAGATGGGAAAGGTAACAAGTCGAAGTTCTTCGGCACGCATGCCGGCTTCTGGTTGTTGGCCCCCAAGAGGGAAACCCGGCGCGACATTGTTGTGCGGAGTCCAGAGCAGCTTCTCCTATAAGTTATGGAAAGGGACTATTCCCACAGATATTAACTAATTGGTGGAGGTGATCGGCTGGCGAACACTCCAAAACCCGTCCACAGAGCCGCCTGGGAAGTGACGCAGCGGAGCCAGATCAACCACCCGCTGGCTGCTCTATTTGTAATGGGGGTGAGGCTCCAGGCAAACCTCATCAATTTAAGAAACAAACGCATATATGTAGGAGGATTAGGGCTCGTACACAAACACCACACAATGGGGCTGCGTAACTCGTAGGTAATCAGAGGAGCTTCGGGCTACCTCGGTGCATGCGCCCCGCAAACAGCAGCATTCTACCAAGGACTGCGTGCCGTGTTTGAAAAAACTAAGTACTTCTATCTAGAATGGAGACACGAACTGGGTAGCTGAAGTTGGTTATTTGTTGTGACCTCCTTTGAAGCCTCGCAGACACGAACAGTAGCTGCACGCGCATCATGGAAGCCTTACGCACGGTTTACAGCCTAAACTATAAGTTATAGTTAACGACAAGCTTATAGCAGTCCCAGCTAATGTTCTCTACTAGTGTATGACCTGTGGGTTATCCTTGCTCCCTACGTAGCCACTGCACGTGCTCCGCAGCTCCGTCACCCTGTTAGCACTTTCGTAATGCAAACCGCCAAGAGATTTCTGTGCGGCGGTTTGTACGCATAATTGTTAAAACTATGCCAATTACGGGCAATCCACATACATAAGGTGCCGAGCCACCGGGCAACTCGACATCTCGAGAGTGGGGATATATTCTGCTGAGGGGAGGCACTAAAGACCTCTCTACAAATCTCATTCCTCTCTTTCTGCTATACTCTTCAGGTCTAAATTTACTCAGAAGTTCGGAGTCCCCGGCCCAGTGAGATGACTTCGGAACTAAACTCGTAGCCGCCAAGGCGCCTACGTAACTACGGAGATGCCTTTACTTTTCCCCCAATGCAGATGCACCAGTAGCAACACCTGGGGGCCCCTAAAGGGGGGCCCCCAAGGGGCCCCTAAAGGGGGGCCCCCAAGGGGGCCCCAGTAGCAACACTTGGAACGCCTTCGCCTCGGAATGCACAGCGACAACATTCAGGGAGATCTTTAACTGGTTCAACTCGCGGATACTGTGCACTGATGGCGCCACTAAGTAGTTGGTGGCAGCGCTGTTTTTTTCTTAAGTGCCCGCCTCATATATTGCGTAATAAGTTGCGTTGCAATGTATGGGAAAGAGCAAATGTCAGCAGAGGCAAGGGGCTAAAAGGGGAGCGCAAGCGCAGTGCTTTCCAGGCCGCGAAGACGCGGCCAGATCTCGGGCCAAAAAGACCCCCACAGAGTCGCATGCACTCTCCGCAGGAAGCGCTGCTGCTGCAGCAGCTGCAGCGTGCAGGAAGCACTGCTGCTGCAGCAGCTGCAGCGTGCAGGAAGCACTGCTGCTGCAGCAGCTGCAGCGAGTAGGAAGCACTGCTGCTGCAGCAGCTGCAGCGTGTTGCACCCAAGTTCCGAAGCCGTCGCATTAATTAGCAGCACATATACCTTCCACATAGCGGCCCAGCAAGCACGCCGGGCTGATCAGTAGACTCTGCAAACGGCACTGGCCGCCACTGTTCCAAACCCAATCCTAGAGTCCATAGTGTCTGTACGTTGGCACCACCCTTCTGCAATTCAACTTGTCCTTTTTAGTAACTTGTCCTTTTTAGTCCTTTTTCTTCGAAACCACCACTTTCTTCTCGCGGCCCTTCGTTCCCATGCACAGCGCCACGCACAGGCACGTCAACACGCAGCCCATGAGGCACCCCATTGCGAAAAGCAGCAGCAAAGGCGCAGGGAATTGAATGAACACATCTCGCAGCTGCTGAAACGCCACGAGGATTTCGTCCTTCGTCAAGTCGAACCAGGAAACCACGGGCGGGATGGGCTGCGCAGATCGCACGGCAGAGTTCGCGAAACTTCATGGATGTGATTCTGAAGTGTACAAACTAATCAAAGCTCCATTTAAAGTCAGAGAGCGGCAAAAAAGTGGGCCATATGCCTCTAATTGGTGCAGCAGCAGCAGCAGCAGCAAATCAAACCCCCACAAGCCTCACCTTGCCAGTTGTTTGCTTCCACCCGCCAGTCGCAAAGGTGTAGAGGTCATCGACAGTGCGGGCGCCGCTGTAGTTGTACATTTGACCCTGCAGCCAAACAGCACAGCTCCAAAAAGTGTTTCCAACTATATACATACTTAAGCAGTGCTCCAGAACTTGCCCTGTATTCAACTCTATGCAGAACAGGAACGTGCGGACTGATACAGCTGCCGCGGCAAAGTCGAAAGCTGCTTATTCAACACAGAAACATGAATTCGTTCGCCTACGTCCTTGAAGAAAAGCAAAGTCGGGAAACCCCTAATGCCAAAGCGCCTGGCCGTCTGCTGGTTCGTAGTGGCATCGAGATGAGCCACGTTGATCTGGCCCTTCAACTTCGTTGCCAACTCCTCCCACACGGGAGCCAGTTTGCGGCAGTGGACACACCATGGGGCATAGAACTTCACGAACCAGTCACCTGAGACAGCCGCAGAAAAGGCTGCAGAAAACGTTTCCCAGATCCCAGCTTCTCCAGCACGCATGCTGCACTGTGAGCATAGACATGTCAGTATGCCCTGCGGTGCTGTGTATGCTGCGCATCAACCCCTGCAAGGCCACCCTCTTGTTTTGCGTTCCAGGGAGATGCTTTGCAGCGCAAATTAGGCCCAGAACATAGTTTATGCACGGGTGGGAGCGCTGTAAGACGCGCACTCCGTTGCAGCCGAAGACATAAGCAGCTTCAGAAGCATACCCGAGGTGGAGCCGGTAACGGCCTGCGTCTCCTGCTCAAACGTTGCATCCGTGAGGACCTGAACATTGGATTCGGACACTGGAGCTGCTGCGGATGGACTTCCAGCAACTGCCGCTCCAGGTGCCGCAGCAACCATATGGGCAGGCTGCCTGCTGCATTCTAGGCACACTACAGCAGTTGCCACCAGACATAAAACACGCGTGAGAGGCCCCATTCTAGCTAAATAAATCTGGAACACATGCGGAAATAACTAAGGACAGGGTTATGACAAGGAGATGTGCAAAATAGAACAACTCTGTGGGCACCATCGACCAAAATAGCGGAGTGGCAAACACAGCGGGCTCAGTCCCATCAGCGTTGCAGACAGAACCGCCGGCCACAGAACTTCGAAGTAACCAAATTAAATTTCCATTAGTATTTATAACCAAATTGAAACAAAGAGGTGAAAGCTTCCCATGATAGTGTCTGTTAGCAGCTCAAGCTCCTGACTGAGCACGTGATCCAGCAATCTTGCAAAGCCACAGGCACGCAGCCTTCAACTGTCCTTAAGTTGCCACGAAATGTCACACATAAGGCAATTCATTATTCAAATGCAACAGCAAGTAAAGACAGCGGGTTCAAGCGACTTCAGGCTGCACGTGGAGTGTAGAATGCAAGTTCCCCGGTGCGCGCTCCTACCGAAACGGCTGTGGCAGATGTGATGCGTGGCTTTTGCCTTTATATAGGGTTTTCCGTTTCATTATGCGCAGAGCATTCTGCTCTGCTGGTTTGTGGGTGAGGGCAGAAGGACCTCAACACAGGCACTCTGCATCGCGCTGTCGGGGCCTTCCCCGTAGTTCAACAGGAATGGCAAGGCTGTGGAGCATCAGAAGCCTGCTATATATAAGAGCTTAAGCAGTATGAATATTTAGCAAAAAGAACACCTGAGAGCTTTTCCGGGAGAGTCCAGGCGGAGCCACCGTGGGTCAACGGACTATGAGGCTTCAGGTTGCTAATATGGGCTGACAGTTATCGAAGTACTAAGACTAGTGCAGCATGACTTAGGAGCTTCTGCAAAGTAATAAAGTGGCTATATTTGTCATAAGCCTTTATCTACGCATTTGTGGGTGCGAAGACACTCCAGTCTTGTACGCTAAAATAGCTCACAAGGTGGCCTTGGGGGAAAGTGGAAGTTAATACAAGCGCACTCATTGCACACAGAAGGAACAACGCGTGTTGAGAGACGTAGCTTTAAGAATGGTTAGGAGCTCAGAGTTCTGCAGCAGGGCTCACTGAGTGGTGTTGAAGATGTGGGCCGGTAGTGAAGACCCACAGAAGACGCTGAGCTGGGCTTGGTGCACTACAGGCTTGGCAAATTAGCGACCCCACCAAAAATCAATATTTGAATGCATATTGATCAATAATTGCATCAGAGCTGCAAGCAGCGCTTAAGAGAGGGAACAACGCCGAAAATGTTACTCAGGAACGCGGCGAAGTCCTTGAGACTCCTTGTGGCGCAACTTGATTGAGGCCTTTGCGCTTTTCTCTGCTTTCAATGAGTGCCTCGTAAATTCAGATGTGGCCACGATTTGCACTTTTCTCCAAACGGCTTGTCCTAGCTTGTGTCAAGTCGCATCCATGTTGCATCGAGCCGCTTCTAAGACCCTGAAAGCTCTCTGACTAAATCGAGGTAACAAAGTTCAAGTTACGACAAACGGGCGAATCTGGCTTTGAAACTCCATGCTCCTTTTGTGTCTTAGTTTTTTCAAGGAGGCGGATATGCTGAGTGCAATCCTATCATCATACACAATCCGTGCAAAAATGGAGATAGAAATCCTAGCTAGTGGAAGCTGGGACATCTCTGAGACATGAAAAAGGAACATGAATTCTTTAGAACGTTTAACCAGGCAGACCTGCCCTTCAGGATTTCTCATATCCCCGATTCCCAGGCCATGCAGTGAGGGAAGCAAGGCCAAGCTAGCCTTAGGCCTACAACTTAAACGATTACTGCAGGTATTTGGGATGTGTTTTCTCCCATTACTACCATGTCATAAGCTCGCTGTTTTATTCACAGCATCACCGAATTCAAAGAGAGAAGCATTCGCTTCTCTCTTCATTGCCTTCGTTCTCTCCACACTCTCCAGGTTGTTCACATCCCTTTTTTTCATATCTTCTGTGCGGATCCCATGCCTGCTCCCCTTTGGAGCTTTCTTAAGTTAGCAAAACATGCATCTGTCATTCTGGCATGACAGGTGGTGCATATGCCGGCTGCGAGGCGGCGACACTCCGACGTTTACCCTTAAGGAAGACAAGCCGCATGCAATGCCAAAGGAGAAAGTGTGAAGATCATTCGGATGCGTGTTTCATTATTTTCTGTTTGTGCAGCTCCAGAGCTCATAAATAAGTACAAATAGTCCAGCTTCCGAAGCTTTCGCGCACAAGAAGAGCACAGCATGTTGCATGCCGTTGCCAGAGATGCCCGATTTAAGAAGGCCTCTGCGAGCCACTTCATGAGGAAAGCTTCATATTGGCCTTAGCTGAAGCTAATAGGCAGTAAGCCCCAGTGCTATATCTCTAGTAACAGACACCTGCAATCTGCACTTGTGCTGCACAACAAGGCTGGCCTCGAAGCTCCTGGAGTTGCTGCTTGCACTGTTGCTCAGTGCATCAAGGAGGACAGAACAAAACATGGAATTGCGCTGGACTTCAACACATTTAGTTCAGTGAATGCATGCAGACAAACTCGAAACGAACAACCCACCCACGGAGGCACTTGGTACTTCACCGGGTCACTGAAACGCCTTTCACTATCTCTCGGGTTGCTGCCAAAGCGTCTTCACCATATTTAGATTTTCTTTTCCATTTCAAGTTTCGGCCAAGTCTTCTCAACAAGAGTGGACTTGCCCCACTTGTGCTCTCACATCTGTCCAGAGAATGCTGATGGACATGCATGGGCTGGGCCAGCAAAAGAAGTGGCCGGCAATTAACTCTCAAGAGTTAAATGCCCCACTGTCGCGCCTTATTCATACAGAATAAAGCAGCTCAAGGGAAGCTATGTCCTCTTTCGTGTTGTATTTGAAAGCAAGCATGGCCAAGGATATAAGCGAAAGCCTTCCTTCTTCTTCATGGGGTGTTCTAACAAAACAGTGTGCCCTTCACTAACCTCTCGGGCCAAAATGAGTATTTCAACTCCTACAAAATCATCAATAGCAATCTTGATGATGCATTTTTCCACAATTCAGGACTTTGCAGGCAGCCAGGAATGCTGCCACAATTTTAAGCATCTTCGTGAACTACTGCATGCTCAGTGGCAAGGTTTCTAACTTCGCCGCCCTCCTGTTTGTCAATGCCACTCTATCAATATAAAAGAATTAAAAGGAATTTTAGTCAAAAGAATTGTCAAGAAAACACTGTCACCCACATCTTGATGCGTCCCAAGATGCTGTGCAGCTTTTCAAGCTGCACGCGGACTCTCTGCTTAAGGGATGAACAAGGTACTTGGGCAAAAGAAAACGCCGATCAATCTTTTAAAAGGCCAACTAGTACAAATGAGAATAAGCAGTACAAATTAGAATAAGTATTCTAGACAGAACTGGAAGCTTTTGGCGTTCTTCACAGCTTTCGAGAAGCTAAGCCACTTACTATGCACCGCTAAGCCACGGCCTACATAGAAAATGAGGCTCTCACTCACTATCATCACCTGCAGCAACTGAGAGCGAAATAAAAACCCTGAAAATGGCTTTAATTCTTTGTCGAGAATCACCTACACCGCGCGAAACCAGAAGACCACAACATTCTAAAGCCATCTTTGAAACTCCATCAATAGTGCCATCACAATTCCTGCATGCATTTGCTGCAGTCTGTGCGTTTTACGCAATTCAAGTTTTCCCGTCACTGCTGTGTTATACTATGTGGAGTCTAAGACCCTCTGGATGGACCCTAGCAGCACAAAGTGTCGAATATCTGTCAAATTAATCGATTTCGTGGTAATTTTTCAGCAGTTTTGTTTGAACGAAGTGAAATTTCAGTCCGTGAAACCCCAAAAGGTTGCAATACGGAGTTCAATAGCGTACAACAACGGGATGCAACGTGCTGTGCTCTTCTTGTGCGCGAAACCTTCGGAAACTGCACTATTTGTACTTATTTATGAGCTCTGGAGCTTCACAAACAGAAAATAATGAAACACACACCCGAATATTTTCAATTCCAAGAGGCCTGCACACTGAGCTTTTAAGAAAGTCTACTAGCGGGCCCCAATTTGCAGAAGTAGTGGGATATGTCAAGTGGCTTGACTGGGAAGTAGAAATACCATTTGTTGCAAGTTTCTGAAATATGCAGCCAGTGTGAATATTCAAGTTTGTGTGTGTGCAGCAGACTCGAGGGCAGGGAGGGTTTTAATTGGTGTATTGAGTTTAAAAGGAAAGATTTAATGAATTAAAGGAGTTGCAAAATGCCGGAAACTTCGTGTGGCTAGCGGGTTTGCAATTCCTGCGCGGCAGAGCCTGCTCGAGCCGCAGTGAACAGGGGGAACGGGGAGGTTCGACCCTCTCTCTGTTCAACTCTTCAAAACCTTTTAATTGGCATTTATTTCTGCCACTTTAATTCAAAAAATGGCGGGAGGATCAGCGGGAAAAAGTCGGAAAGCTTTGTTGCGCATGCTGGTGTTGCAGAAGGAGTGCGAGCTTGCAGCCCGGGAAAGCAGACGACTTGGGAGTTCCTTGTCCTTAGAGGCGGCGTTTTGTCTTTTTAATTGGAAACAAAAGCTGGAAATTTGAATTAAAAAGTTAATTTAGAAGAATGGACAAGAAGTTGCAGTCTCGCCGTGTGCGGTTTGGGGGGCGGCACTTCTTGCAGTTTCGCCTGGGCCGAGCAGTCCAGGGCTGCGGGTCGAGAGCTGCGAACCTCTCCGCCCTTTTTCATTCTTTTCTTTTTCTTCTTGTCAATGAAAGGTTTCTAAACAACTGACTTCAACTTCGTCTTTGTAGAAGCAGGTCTTAGCGGGCAACGAAGGGCTAGCTGGCGCTGCGCAGCAGCTGTATCGACGTGCCACTCTAGCAGCACTTCCGCGCCGCCCTCCCAAGCCCTATTTTTCGTTTTCCAGTATTATTTCGAGTTTAAAAGGTTAATTACAGTTCATTTGAAAAGGTACATTTGGGGATTTTCCCCCGAGGGCTCGCGGGACCGAAAGCGGCAACAGACCAGCCTTGTCCACCCCGCCCAGTCTTTGCAGCTTTCCCCGGAGGCCCCGCTGCGCCCCAGCCCCTTATCTTGTCTTTGGGGGCCCCCAGCAGCTGCAGTCCCTTGCATGCGCTGCCTTGTAGCTCCTGCGACTCTCTCTTTCCCTGCTGCTGCTGCTGCTGCTGCTGCTGCTGCTGCTGCTGGGCCGTAGCCCCACAGCCGTCGCGGTGTACAGACACTGAACACCCCTCCCGCGCCCCTCCCCCACCCGCCAGCCTCCAGCTCTTCACTTTTTCTTTTCTCAACAAATCCTTTTCTCCGCAAGTCCCGAGGCCCCGCCTCCCGCAGCAGCACAATGTACTACGAGGGCCCGCAGCAGCAGCAGCGGCGCCGGCGCTGCCCGCTTTCGGGCTGCATAGAAGTCGAGGGCCCCCTCAGTACCCAGGGGCCCCAGGGGCCTCCTGCTGCCGGGGGCCCCCCTCGCTGCAGGGGGCCCCTGGGTCAGCGAACAAGTGGTGGAAGTGCGGAGGCCCCAAGTGCAGGAAGTGGTGGTGGAAGTGCCGCAAGTGGCTGCAGTGGAAAGACTGGTGGAGGAAAAGAAAAAAGTTTTTCAAGAAAAAATAAAATATATTCCCAAGTTCGAAACTGTGGAAAGAATTCGACATGTCCCCAAACCCATCACCAAAGAAGTCATCACTGACGTGCCCCAAGTCCAGCTCGTCGAACGCACCGTCGAGGTCCCCACCACCATCTACCAGGTCCCCAAACCCTAAACCCTAAACCCTAAACCCTAAACCCTTGCCCTAAGCCCTAGGCCCTACTTCCGGCGAAACTGCGGGCTTCCTGGGCCCCCGGGAGCCTCTGCACCCTTTATTGGCTCCTGGGGACTAGCTTGAGAGCTGCTGTTGCTGCTGCAGCAGCTGCTGCTGCTGCTGCAGCTGCTGCTGCTGCTGCTGCAGCTGCTGCTGCTGCTGCAGCTGCTGCAGCTGCTGCAGCAGCTGCTGCTGCTGCTGCAGTTGCTGCTGCTGCAGCTGCTGCTGCTGCTGCTGCAGCAGCTGCTGCTCCCGCGGCGTTGCCTCCTCGGCGTCCGCTGCATGCGCTGCTGCTGCTGCTGCTGCTGCTGCTGCTGCTGCAGGAGGTGGTGGTGCCGGTGCCGAAGCCAGTGATAGAGGAGCGCACAACAGCAATTCCCAAACCCGTTTTTGTCGAAAAAATTGTCGAAGTCCCTCGAAGAGTTCATCGCGAAGTTCCAATTGAAAGAATTGTCGAAGTTCCTGAAACTCGAATTGAATACAAATACAGAGACATTCCAGTGCCCCGCAGGGTCTTCCTCCGCCACTCCACGGCCCCGGGGGCCCCCCTGGGGGCCCCCCTGGGGGCCCCCCCGGGGGCCCCCCTGGGGGCCCCCCTGGGGGCCCCCGGGGGGCCCCTGCTGCGGAGGCCCGCCGCGACCCCCAGGCAGCAGTCTTCGCCGCTGAGGGCCCCCGGGGGGCCCCCCAGTACCCCCTCGTGCCCGCTGAGCACTTGCTGCTCGCCGGGGGGCCCCCGGGGGGCCCCCCGAGACCCTGCGGGGGGCCCCCCCGTGGTGTACCGCAGCATCTCGGCCAGCCCGAGGGCCTCGTACCCGCTGCCGGGGCGGTGGGGCGCGGCCTGGCCGCAGCAGCAGCAGCAGCAGCAGCAGCAGCAGCTGCAGCAGCTGCTGCTGCAGCAGCCCGCGTACGTGGTGGAAGGCGAAGAAGCAGCAGCAGATGAAGCTGGCTGCTGCGCGCTGCTGAGCCCCCGGCAGCGCAGCAAAGCCCCAGTGCGCCGCGCGGAGCTGCTGCTGTCTGGGATCCAAAAAAGCGATCCCGGGATCCAAAAAAGCGATCCCGGGATCCAAAAAAGCGATCCCGGGATCCAAAAAAACGATCCCAACAAAAATAAACTCCACTTAAGAGTTGCCACTCTCCCCCCCAGACGCTCCGCCAGGCGCCCCTGCGAGTCTTGCTGCGCTCCGGCCCGGGCCTACTCCGTGCCCCCCCCCGCCACCGTAACCCCAAACCCTAAACCCTAAACCCTAAACCCTAAACCCTAAACCCTAAGCCCCAAACCCTAACTTGAAGTTCCAGCGCTGAAGCGTCGGCCCTGAATCTAAATTCTAGACTTTAAACGCTAAGCAAAGTCTGGACGCTAAGCGCTAGGCCGGTAGCTCTGTACGCTAAACCCTAAACCCTAAACCCTAAACCCTAGGGGCCGCGCGAGGCTGCGCAGCGACGCTCTTGGGGTGCTCTTTTGAGGAGAGCAGCAGCTGCAGCAGAAGGGTTTAGGGTTTGTTTGATGGGGCTTGGGGGTTTTGGGTGGGGGTTTAGGGTTTCTTTCGCTAGG